ATTGGCGGCGATGGGGGTTCCTCCTCTGGCTCGGCTGCAGCTACAATGCAGAGGACAGAATGCATGGAATAAACACCCACCCACCATCCATCCTTCCATCCATCTGTCCATCCATCCATCGATCCATCCATCCCCTTTTCCACCCAGCCGTAGTCTCATCCATCCCTACATTCAGCTCCTCAGAGCTCCATTTATCAGCTCACTCAAGCACCCTCCCACCCGTCCTTCCCTGCAGCCTTGTCACTCTTCCACCCATCACCCTGCCAACCACCCAGCCACCCCGTCCTTCCTCTCACCCAGCTCTCCATCCATCCACCCACCTGATCACCCACCCAGCTACCAGCTTGCCCCAGCCATACACACTCCACCACGCGTTCCATCCAGCCATTATCCTCCCGATTCTCTGTGCATTACTCCACCAAGTCCTCCATCCATCCATCCATCCATCCATCCATCCATCCATCCATCCATCCATCCATCCATCCATCCATTCATCCATCCATCCATCAATGCATTCATCCAGCCATCCTTCCACTTATCCATCCAACCCTCCATGCAGCCCACAAGTATCCACTTCTCCAAGGAGTCAACAAGCTGCTTGTGCAACCTTCCATCTTCCTACCCATAAATCTGTCCTCCTGAACTTTGCTCCAATCATCCATCCAGACAGGCAATCAACTATTGGGTACACGAATCAGCCACACACTCATCCATCCATCCATCCATCCATTCATCCATCCATCCATCCATCCCTCCCTCCCTCCCCCCCCCCCAGCCACTCCATCCATCCAGCCCTCCATCCATCCAATCACTAATGCGTCCATTTATGCACCAATCCATTAATACATCTATCCGTGCAGCCATCCATCCACTCAACCAACCAACCAAACCTCTACCCATCCACCCATTGCTCCATTCATTCAACCAACCCTTCATCAATCCAACTCTCCATCCTTCAGTCGATCCCACCACCCCTCCATCCTTCCATTCCAATCCCTCCAGCCATCCCCAAGGAAGCACATAGAAGATGTTCCCAGTTCCCAGCAGGCCCAAGGCACCAGCACAGGCCCTGACCCAGCTCCTGCCCTGCCCCAAAACCAGAGCCCAAAGGGGACATGTATGGATCCCACAGCCCCCTCACCTGTGACGGCGTCGGTGGAGACGGGGCCCAGGCGTTTCCGACCCCACACCCCGTACAGGTTGAACTTGTAGCGGCGCGACGGGGACAGCCCAGGCACGGTCACCGTGCGGGAACCCCCGTCCACGGGCAGCACCTGCGGCTGGCCTTGGTCATCCTTGTACTGCACCGTGAAGGAGTCAAAGGCGCCCTCGGGGACGCTCCAGTGCAGCTGGACGGAGTCGGGGGTGACCTGGGAGGCCGTCAGCTCGCCCAGGATTGGCTGCGATGGGGGTTCCTCCTCTGGCTCGGCTGCAGCTGCAACAGAGAGGGCACAATGCAGGATATGAACATCTCAGTGTTTGTTCGTCTATCCGTCTGTACATCCATCCGTCCAACCATTTCTCTGTCCGTCCATCCCCATCTGTCTCTCCTGCCATCCATCAAATCAATCACCTCTCCCTGCACCCTTCTCCATCCATCAGTCCTGGAATCCACACCTCCTTTCCACCAACCAACAATACAGACGCTTCTTCATTCATCCC